TTAGATTTGAGTAAAGCAGTGCATACGTAATATTAATATTAATGAAGTAAGTTGTATCAATACTATTCACAATACTGATAAATCATAACTACTTTATTCAAGTTGAAATATTATGTCACGGTTTTAAAACATTATTGAAAAAAAATATTAATACAAAATAGTCAATAGTTTAAAATTGCCTGATATTTATTAAATATAAATTTCCAATAATTATAAAATTGTACGCCATTCGGAGTTATGAGACACCTGGGACCTATTCTAGAGTTTTGTAAAGTGTTTTAGTAGGTATAATAGGTGGGTAATTTTAAATTCAAAGAGATTTACGCAATAATGCCCCTGAGTGATATATTATTCCTGTAAAATGTTTGACTTTGGAATTCAAGTATTTACAAACTGTGCTTATTTTAGATTGACGATAGCACTTATTAAGCTCTAGTGATAATAAGCTAAAATTGAAGTGCAGGAGTAACAAAATATCAACAAAAGTCTTCTGTATTTTAATCGCCTAACCTTTGTTTAAGCTTTATATGAAGGACTAAAGATGTATGATTTTTGTTGAAAGAATAAGTGCAGGTGCAGAAACGTTATAAAAACCTTTGTACTTTACAAAGGATTTTTCTTAAGTCAAATTATATGTACCCAATATAGTTTAAAGTCTTATTTTTCCTTCTTATACGTCATCTATACTGTATTTATAGGTTTTCTTATACTAATCCGTCTTTTAATTTAATTTTTTAATAATGCCTTTGTAAGATGCATTGTTAACATTTATAGTTGCATTTGATCAACAATTCTAATAATTAAATTCAGCAATATATAAGCCATTTGAAATGTAGATTTCCGATTATATTTCCTAAAGCTAAATTGAAACCGAAAATACCACATACGATGTCGAATTTCCGCTTTCGTGGCAAATATCTTTAACTTTAAATGTCATAAATTCTGTTTGATATTGATGTTTTACGTCTAAACCAGTAAATGACTTTCTATTATATTTAAAATCAGTATGGTTGATATTAATTACGAAAACCAAAATGAACTAAACAGAATGAAATAAATATCACCCGGTTGGTGTCTCCTCGTCTGTATCTTGATTTATATTGCTAAAAATATACCCTAAAAAGCTCTCTAAATATTCACTAAAGTTTTTAATTAAAATACTTATTACTAGAAAAATAATAACACGCGTTATATATTTGTACATCTATCTGATCCCAAACAAGGCAGAACATAAATAAATACATAAATATTTCTTAATACAGACACTCGTATTATAGATAAATTACACTCTGAAGCGCAATAAAATATCGTGCTCTTTCATACAATTATTTGTTCTGGGTGAACTAACACCAAGGCCAACTTTAAACTAAAAGGGCGTATAAAATTTCACCAAAGTGCAATTTGTTCCACATACGAGTATGAAATGACCTAACTTTTAGGCATACGAGATATTATCTCTTATATTTAGATAATTATAATGTATATTTGCAAAACAGTTATAAACAGAAACTTCTTGTTTACGAATTTTACTTGACAATTTTACTTGCCAAGTTATCTATTCAGATAGAACTTCCAAAAACATAGAGATAAACAAGAGATTTTGAATAGGTATACATTATAAATTTAAAATGTATAACCTATTACGACCTGAACGATCATTAAATCTTTGCAAGACTGCTATTTGTGTCTTTACTTTCGTACTTTTTTCAAATCTGTAATATATGCGATCTATCATGCGATCATGTTAAATGCTCAAAGCAATTATCACTAACTTTTATAACACTCAATTAAAATAAGGGTTGTGATTCAATTCCACGGATAAGAGTAGTCGGTCGCCGCACCGCTTCCTACTACGCTGAGTGTTGAGAGTTCGATACCAACATCGGTCAAGACTGCGTTTTCCAGAAATTGTTGTTCTGAGTCTGGGTGTTAGTTGTATACGTTTCATGAATGTTTTTAAAGTCCCCTGCGACACATTACATATTCCTAGTGTGGGAAGTGTCTTTTAAAAACAAATCCGTGCAACTTTGGTTACTTCAGTCACGATATGAATTAGAAACGACACGATGCCGATAGAAATTTTGTAAGTAAATAATATTATCTGCCATTTAAGTACTGATTAATGTACCGCATTTACTAGTATTACATAGAACAAAATAGTTCTAGCGTAGTTCTCTCTCTAAGGTACGTAACTACACGTGATTATGATTGCAGATAGATTAATATTCGTCAACGATTATACTGTCAAGTAGTTTTACGTGAAAATAAAAAAGAATTTAGATTTGACATCTTTAGTCTATCAGTGGCACTGAGATTCTTTGTCAAAATTAAACTAGCTCTAATCACATAAGGTGCGTCTCTTGACTTGCCGGTAATTTTCAAATATGGAGAGGAAACCAAAATGAGGTCACAAAATTAAGAGAAATTTATTTATTTAACATAATTTTTTTAGAATCCATAGATATCCTTAACAAAACCGACCCTATCCGTTCCAAACTTATATGATGTGTCAAATTGGTATAAAGTATAAACGCCCAAAATAGCCTAATTCACAAATAGGTTGCTAGATATTACTATCAAGTTCTAGCGATTGGCTAATAACGGCGTTAAGACCGATAATAATTAGGCCCGAGCCTATATTTATCAACCACAAATCAAGCATTGAACGAAATGCAAGAAAATTTGTAAACAATAAAGTACTGGTTGGTTATTAATAGTTACCTGGTTTGGAATGGAGATTTTGATAGAACGTATTATTAGTACAGAGGTTAGGTTAAATATAAATGGATTACGGTATGAAATTCTTTACAAAAAAGTTGGCAAAAGGAAGCTCTCACAGCGATTTGGGAACAATACTTTGTAAAAGCATAGTTCCCGAGACGTGGTGAATGAGAAGTGAATAACCATTATGTTTATTATATTGTTATTTGGTATGTAATATTGGTATGAAACAGAAGTATTTTCTTTCAATATTATAAAAGTTTTCATCCATTTTAAAATCAAAATTACAATTGTTAGTCTTGGTTCTAGTTTTATTTGAATATGTTACTTGTAAACATTCCTTTTCATTACAATTCCATTCCTTTGTAATTTTTTGTAAAGCTGGAAATTCAATATTAAAATATCCGGCCTAAGCAAAATCTTTTAGATATTTAGAAAAGACACAAATATTAAAATTTTCAAATAAACCCGTATTTCAAATGATCCCGTTGCGTCTTATTTTGTAAATATTGGTTATTACTGTCTCACAGATTAATCTGGCTTTCATGACTAATAATATCAACACCTTTATGTCATAATAACGGTTTAACCTAGTATCATCTTTGGATTAAGAAGGCAAATTGAATATTAAACAACATTGTCAATTTGTTATTCAGCGTTAAGGCGACGGCTAAGCGCCTTTCACTTTATCTATGTAATACTGATGGAATACTAAATTGCCTCTCACGTTTTAGCAGGCGCCTTGGGTTTTAGTTTGTACGAGACAAATATAATGTTACGTTTTAAATTTTTGTCATTTAAATTATAGCCCGTTGCAATAAATCAAGAAATAAATGTGTTTGACTTATAAAAGATGTACAGAGCCGACTGGCTCTGAGATTTTTTATTTCTTAGGAATACTGGACTCAGTAGAAAAGGGACAGAAAACACTCAGAAGACAATTGGCCAAAATTATTCTCAGTTCTTCCATCCATTTATTGGTGAAAAAATACAAATTCTTACAATATAGAAATAAAAAATACAAATTCCAATTTTTACATACATTTCAAGGTATACTGTCTTGTTGGTCTAGTGGTTTATGATCCTAACTATTGAGTCAGAGGTCATGGGTTCGATTCCCATCTAGGTCAAATTATAGCACGATCAGTGGTTCTCGCCTGGTAAAACTTATCTATGATATGTATGTATTTAGCTATATACATAAGTAAATATATTATGTCAGGTTACATACTTTGCCCAATTTGGGATCAAACGGGCGTGCGTGTGATGTATCAAGTAATATTATTATATCATTTAAAATTTTTACAATATGATATTTGAGATCATTTTCACTTGACTTGACATCTTGCGATAAAATTAATTGTTAAAGTTTAAAAACTGTTTTTGGCAATAACCTAAACCACTGAACTGTCAGGTGTATTTACTATATAAAATATAATTACATGTTAATCAATATCTAAGCTTACGTAAATAAATTTGCCAACAAACATTACATCAAATTAACGGAAATAAACATTTCCCCAGTATTACCTCATTGTGCGTCAAATCCAGACCCAATCTGTATTACACAAACCAACATCGGCTTTCCTCTATAGATTCCCTAAGCTTTGACATGAAGTGCAGTCGAACTTACTTTGAATAGCCTGGGAGGATCAAGCCAAGGCCTCACTGTATTCAAACAAACAAACCGTTTGTGCTTCGACTTTAGTTTCCTTTCATAACCAGACAGGAATTGCTAATTAAATGACTGCACGGGTGGCGTTGTGGGTTAAGCGGTTACCTCGCTGCTTCCTACTTCAGTGAGTGTTGTGGATTCGAACCCCACATGGGACAACTCATTGTGGACAAGAAATTATTGTTCTGAGTCCGAGTGCTTTTTGTGTCCATTTCATGTATATTTGTAAAGTCCCCCGCGACACAGGATATATTATATTATATCCGTGTGTGGGGTATATATTATATTGATAGTGCGGGAGTTGTCTTTCTAAATTAAAAAAAACAATCGGTATAATAATCTGGTGACTTCACGATTGCAAAATTGTATAAACAGATGAATTGAAGATCAGTATTGCCCAATATATAACATTTTAGATAACATTTCTATAAACTTTATCTATTAGTCTGTGTTAAAAACTAGAATATAAAATTTATAAAGTGGTCCAGTGCACTCAATGTACAAAAAAATAAGTAAAAGTACGTAGTTTAAAACTGTTAAAATATAAGACTGAATAGTGCCAAAGAAACTTTTCTATTAAAAGTGATATAAACTTTAGAACAAGATGGCAATGGTGGTGTCTAGAAAATCTAAATGTTGTCTCTGTTCCCTGTTCCTGTTGATGATCTTGGGCATCAGTTTGGCTGTGGTGTCCACTCTAAACCTTTTTGAGCCGAAGAAGGAACATCATCAAGTGGTTGCTGAGATGTATAGTCAGACAAAATCAGCGCCGAGAGTCGTGGAGATGAGTACTGTAAGTAAAGAATATGGAGGAGAGAATGTTAAGATTACTGACTCAGCATTTTTAGTATTTTTCAGTGGAAGAAAAGGTATTGATTTTGTAGAAGCTTTGATTTACTTTTAAAAGTAAATTAATTAATTGGGTAATTAACAGTATAACATTTTTTTCTTATTAAAAAAAATATGGAATAGGGAGCAATCTACTATAAAACTTCTGTAGGTACGTCAGGTATATTTAACATAAACAGGTACATTTATAATAAAAATATTATAGGAAACTATTTAAAAATGAATCTCTGCTTAAGTATGGGCTAAGAATATTTGTTTTAATCAATCTGATATATAACATTTAAAAAGTTAAAAAAAATTTTAGGCTTAATTTATTTAATTTTTTATAACTAGTTAGTTGTATTTTTGCCCAGAAACAAAAATCACTGCATTTATGGCAAGCGGTAATTTGGGTTTATAACCTTTAGTAGAACACACTTACACTCTCATTTGACTTCAGAAAACTTACTACTACAGTAACAGAATAATTAACATTTTTTTAAGAAGTTGCTATTCGCTTATTTTATAATACTGCACAGGCCGTGCGTAATACCAAATTTTATTATGTATCTCTGTTGAACCACCCGTAGGTTACTAAGGGTGGTTCAACACGAAACATGGCAGGTGCATAAAAAGTGATTATCCTCATACATTCAGTAATATTTACATAACACTTTAAAATGTCATACTAGCAAATAGACAAATACACAAATACAATACGGTTAAAGTTATAAGATCAAAAGGCAACTGTTTTCTGAAAAAAAAAATTATAAATCTTTCTATTTTTATTCTGAATCCTTTTTGCAATTACTAACAATGTTTGTATGTTAACATTTATTTTCATTTATTTAAAAATTACTAGAACTCTATTGTTTCACAATATTAAACCATCAAAAATGTGTTCGGAATATCTTGCTGAAATTTTGCAGGCATTCGAAAGATAAAATTACATTTCGGGTACCAGCAGATACTAAAAAAAATCCTCGTTTATCGATACGTATTTTTTGTGTAATCCGCTGGGAAATGTACGTACCATTATATGGGATTGTCTCGCATCGAACAGCGTAGTTCACAGTAAGTATCCGTTATCATAACCTCACACATAGGCAATAACAATTTGTAGGCTAACGTAAAGAAAAAACTAAAAGGCTGTTAGTAAAAGGCGGTCCCTTGACGTCCCGTAAGAGTTCTAAAGTACCTTAGAACCTTCAGATAATAATGCAATAGTTTATCCTAATAGTGGTATCAGTAATAGGAATATGAATAGGAATATTACATAAGAATGGACAACATCAGAGTATTGGTGTCTAAACACTTTTTTTAAGTTTTACAGAAGTGTTAACATTAGGCATTGTAGGCCGGTACCATTAATTCACTGATGCATTGACCAATAAATCAGTATTAATGAACACTGCTTGACACTTTAGAGTTCTTTATCAAAATAATTTACACCTTACTTTTATTGATTTGTATTTATCATGTAAAACATACATTTTCAGATAGCATATCCTATCGGGAAGAGGTTATGTTGAAAAATTTCAATTATTTCCTTTATCGCTGCCAATGTTAGGAATCTACAAAAGATGGGCAACTTCTTCAGGATGGTTCAATGTTCAAGATGATTCAATACATGAGGATTTAATATAAAAAAACAGCATAGGATAACTACAAGGAACATACCACAGTAGGCGTACAATGTCAGAAATGCATCTAAATAAAAAATATATATTTACTGATATGGAAATTGTAATTTTCTAGTGTGATGGTACCTCAAATACCCTAGCCTGAGTAAAGCAGTTTTTCAACTATTAAACACGTAGCCAGCTCCCCTCCCTGTGGGGGAGGTCTAACGCTCCTCCATTTTCCGCGTTAGGCTGTAAGACTCGACCCTGACTGGACATCTTCCCACTGGCTTTTAACGTTCGAATAAACAACAAAAGACCGCGGTAAGAGGGAATCAAAGTCTAAATGAAATAATTAAATACAATTGGTATTGGTTGTGATTGCTTATCAGAATTCCATTCATTGTGCGCTTAAGCTTAGAGTGAGTCAATCAACTTCTACAACTGAATGGTCAAGGCCGCAAGGTCAGACACGTGAATACTGCTCGTCTGATGTGGCATTAACCCTTATGCTACCGGACACAACGCATGCGCCGACGGCGGACTCGGACCGCTCGATCTCCATCAATTCATCAACAGCATCAGCGCTTTCCCGTAAGCCGACCACAGGATCCGCCCATTGAAACGCCCTTCACTCAAGCACACGGCATATATCAACCACATCATAAATACTCCACAATAACGGGTCACCGAAGAATAACCGTATAGCAATGACAGCGGCCTGGGTGTCATCCCAGGGTGGCCTCACCTCAGCTATAAATCGATTCACCACACTGAAGAGACCTATAAAGGGTCATAAATCATTCTATCCCATTCAAAGGTACCTTAACCAATACCAAATGCTTAAGTTAATTAAACAGTGACAATACATCTAATTACTCAACTATTACTACGTTACTCAGACCGGAATATAAATACGTATAATATATTAATCCTAAAACATAATAACCAATAAAGACTCACCTAGCGGTCCTCAACGTTCTATATATTTAACTTACTCAATCTAGCTGCAATACGCACGTCCGAGCACTTTTAGCTTTTGACGATCAACCTCCGCCTCCTAGCTCCTAACACCGACTGTCTTGTCCTACGCCTTAAGATCAACTGTCCGTTCCTTATTCCTTATCGTTCCCAAAAGGACTCCTAACTAAGGGCTTTTCTCACGCTTATTCGTGTGCTGTTTTGCACATGTGTCCGTTTTTAACTGCTATCGTGGACCCTTGGCTATCCCCTTTTTTTATGGTATTCGTCTTAAGAACGCAATAAGTCTTTTGTTCATAATGGGCCGTCATCCACTTCGCAATACTTGAGATCATAAAGTTCACTTATTTATTAGGGTCTGCTTTTTGTTCGTCTAGACCTTAAATGCACGTGTAGATAACTTTCTAACATTACTTGTTTAAAATAACATTTATGTGAAGTTTTATAATTACGTGATTGTAGTACTATCACATTTTCCCCCCTGAAATTCAGACGCGAAGAATATATCGAAGCGTATGGGATTTCACTTATCTTTAACTCGAGAACAGTGATTGTATTAGATCTTTGTTAAAATTTCTTTAACTTAGCAAATCGCATGATTTGTTGTAGTTGTATATATCCATGGTTCTCTACACATTTGGAAATCGGTTTGGCTGTCACGTCCCAGGCTCTACCTCACACCTTCAAACCCAATAATGTCAGGATACTTTCCAAGCAGTTTTTGGTTCATCTAGAACTAACCGCAGTGTTGGAATATTTCGTTGATAAGTTTTGGTAAATTTCCACTATAGCGTGGCAGTAGATGGGGTGATAGGAGTGGTTTTGTAGTATTTGAGTACGTTTAGCACACTCGATACCAATGGTAGGCTTTGATTTTGTTAGTTAGGTAGATTTTGATTTGTGATAAGTCTCATTTGATTTGACTAGTTATGTCCATTTTAACAAATTAGAATGTGGTAAACTGGTCCATTTGATTTATTATTTTTGAATAAAATAAGTATAAGTAAGTTAGTCCCATCGGCTTATTCCTCTAGGTCCTGGTAGTTTCATATAGAGCAGGTATGAGTTGGATAGACCCAGTGGCTTATTCTTATAAGTCCTGGCAATTTCATATAGAAGTGGTTTAAGTTAGATAGCTCCAGTGGCTTATTCTTATAAGTCCTGGTAATTTTATATAGAATTAGTATAAGTTAGATTGATCCAGTGGCTCATTCTTTAAAGTCCTGGCAAATTAATAAATAATTGGTATAAGTTAGATAGATCCAGTGGCTTATTCTTATAAGTCCTGGCAAATTCGTATTGAATAGGTATAAGTTAGGTAGACCGAAGGGCTTATTCTTATAAGATCTGGTAATTTGATTTAGAGCAGGCGTAAATAAGTTAGTCCTAGTGGCTTATTCTTATAAGGCCCGCTAGAATCTTATCAAGTGACGATTCTGTTATTAGTATGTCAGTGAATTGTCAAAATCATTACAGAGAATTCTATATATGATCTTAAATTAAACATTAATAGCAATATGAAGTCATTCCTGAATTATCTCCACATCCCGTTTTGCTACATTATACTCCTTCCGTTTCTCACAAAATAGAACTGACCAAAGTGGTACCTTGTAATAATTTAATTGATTGCATTACAATTGCAGTATCATATAAATTTTACAGTACATAATATTTGCTTAACGGTTTCCTGGCATTAAATAATAATAAGCTTACATACCTCGAGGTTTCAAGTAATAACAAATGTTACCAGATACAGTTAACCTGCACGCCTCTCATTATGAATCAGCACCTTCATAATAGACCTTAATTTCACCATCGCTCCGCTTCTCTTCAGGTTTTAACGTCGCTATGCCTTTCTTTCACGCTGCAACCCCGCTTATGTTCTAAAACTGCAGCCACGAAGAGCAGCGGCTCCCAACGAGTAGTTCACGTCGCATATACGCAATATCCACAATTACTGAAACGTGATAATACCACAGCAGAGGATTTGTTTTGTACGAATTGATTTCCACAGTATTTACACGTGGAATCAATATGACCATATTCTTATATATCCATATAAATACGTTTACATTTAAAAATATTATTATTTGAACTTTTACATCGACAAGGTTAATGACATCAACACCTCTGTCTAAGGTCCTGAGAGTATTATCTCCACGTATTCATAAACGTTGGCAAATAAATAGTTACTAGTCTAACTCTGCTTAATAAACTCTCCATCATCATCGCCTGTGTCTTACGTTTCGAGATTGTTACCTCTATGTATTCATACACAATTAACAAATCAATTATTATTATTCTGACTTTTTATCTAATCACCTTTCTATCACCCGACCCGAGTCTACTGCACCGTGCTTGCCATCTCTATATACTCTAACTAATTCTTGCTTACTTTCATGTGATACTTTTTTTAGATTATACTATCCATCATCGTATCGTGCGGGAGTCTAACCCGTACCAGTCTGCGTTA